TTAAGTAAACAAAGTTGCTGAGCAATTTTAAATTGACGAAGTTGTTTATCCACAACTGTCAGGACAATCTCCCTCCTAGGCATAAGCTACAAAATAATCCTTTAATACAGGACTCTGCATGTAGAACTGGACACAATCAAATAATTTATTTGTTCTCTATTAACATGGAGAAGTCAGTTTAAACACGCAGGGACTGCGTGAATGAATCCTGTAAAATGGCATGGCCAAAGTCAGAAGGCCAATTTTACCATCACCTCCACTCCGAGGTGACCTATTTACAGGCATATACTCTCACCTCACACACATGACTCAGTGTAATCACTGTGCTAAGCAAATATTCCACTAATATGGTCTCCTTTCACGCCCATAAATAATCCAATTTCTTTCCCAGTTATACTTTCTCACACTACTCAGAATTTCTAGAATGCTTTTTACTCAAACACTTACATGGGTCATTTCTTCTTTCTTAGCTCAAATAAATCTTTAGAAAAGCTTTCCCTGAGCACACTTTGTAAAGCAAATCTGCCTAAACCCTGATAGTCTCTATTGCTTCTCTTGGTCTTCAAACACAATACATTTTTGATTTGTTGTTTCATATTTTAAGTCCATACTTCTTATTACAACGTATGATCTCTGAGAGTAAAGATGTCCATTTTGTCCATTGTTACATCTCCTGTTCATAGAAAATATGATAAAATTGATAAATGTCTGTTGTCTGCTCAGAAAAAAATGTCCTCTTGCTTATACCTTATTGTTCATTTTGACAGTTATTTCCTAATATAAATTTTCTTTGCTACAGACAAAAGTGGAATATTATGGTTCTCCCAATTCCAGCCTTTTATGAATCCCCTCATCCTACTTCCCCTATATATTTGAATGTGATTTTGCCAATTACAGCTCAATGACTGTTGTAGGTAAAGAAGTAGAGAATGCTCTCCTTTGAGACTTAATATTTCTCCCAGATGAACTCACTGCCTCACAAAAGGACTCTTTGTCTTTTGAATTTAACTGACTCTTTGTCTAGGCTGTTATCCAGCACCACAGGAGTAAAATGTCAATGCTCTCTATTTAATCAATGTTTTATTCTTGGCTTATATTTCAATAAGAGGGGTGGAATGAAATACTAATTCAAATGTTGTTGCAGATATATTTTTGACCCTTCTTAGTTCCTGATCTATGTTATATGAAGTTCAGCAACTTATAATTTATCTTCAATCTGCACAAGTTCCTGGGAGAAATGTGCTATTCACAGCTGTGCTGACACACTACCAAAACCAAGACTACTCCTTACCCAACCTAGGTGGTCATTTACTACACTCTAATCTTTTTTCTTATAATAAAAATTGCCAGAAATTATTGCTTGTAGGTCACTAGTTCCCAATGTTCATTCTGTTAAACACTGATCTATAAAGTCCCCACATAAAAATGGTTTCAATGGGTCAAGAGTTTGGGAAACAAAGTATTAACATATTAAAAGCTTACAGACTTGTTTCAAAATCAGTTGGTTTAACTTATAGCATTTTTACAATTTATTTGATTGCAGCACTGGCTCACAAGCTGTGGTACCCAGACCACCTGAGAAATCATTAGAAATGTATATTCTTGGTTCTTACCCCAAATCTACTAAATCCAAAACCCTAGAGCAGAGGGGAGTCTCAGCAGTATGTTTTCATAAGCCCTTTAAATGAACTTGATGAGTGCTCAAGTGTGAAACCATAGAAGTCTTGTACTGTAACTGCCTTCTAACATTCTGCGGGCACTGTTTTCAAATCATGTGAGAAACTATTCAGCAGCTCTGGAGAATGGCCAGAGATTCTGTATTTCTCACAAGTTCTCAGATGGCATTAACACAGGAGATCTAGAAAGTATAATTTGAAGAGCAAGGCCATAAGCCACTCACCAAAATGTTAGGGTAGGCTTGGCTAATGTGCATGGGGAGCAATATTTGTAGAGGTGCTTATGGTAGAAATCATGTCTCCTCTTGCCTACCTGACCGGTCCTTATCTGGTCATCCATGGACACTGGAAGACGAGTAGAAATGGTTCCAAGTGTCTCTCACCTGGCCACCTGCCACAAGTGCTCAAACTGACATAGCAAAGAGACGAGAGCTGAGAATTCTTGAGCAAGAAATTTTTCTTGCACTTGCAAGTAAAAATAGTTATATGATCCTAGATAGCTTATATTGCCACTGTGAGACTCACTTTTCTTGCCTGTCAGTTAGAAATATTTATAGCACCTGTGTTAGTACTTGTATTGAAAGTTACATATGACATCCTTATAAAATGCTCACATAGAAAATAGTTAACAGATGATAATGATGAGGATCCCATGTCAAATAGAAATACCCTGAAGTTAGCTTCATGCTTCAAAGAAAAACAGAATATGGAAGCAAAGGTCATCATTCCCTCCACGATAAGAAAAATGCACACTAGGCATTTTCTCCTTGATTTGCTCCTTATAGCTCCAGGTGTCAAAACTACATATTTAAAACATCCATTGAATGACTAATTTTTGTGTAGTGAAATTGTGGATGATCTCATTTTCTCCTATTCTTATTCCCAATAGGGAATAAGAATAGTCTTGGGAAAGGGTTTAATGCCTTCACTCAAAACATGCCAACAAAGATTTAGAGATTGTTGATAGTACTATTAGTATGACTAGTGGTATTAGTATTTGTTGTGTGGCTATAAGCAGCCACATGGCAAGATGTCATGCAGAAAGGCCAAGACCACATGTGGAAGAACTGAGTGGATGGATTCTAGAGTGTGGACATGGTGAGGCGACAGAGTTGCAGCAGAAAAGAATTAAAGTTGAGTTTGAGAGAGAAGAAAAAAGATTGTGAAAGACATCTACAGCGATAAAACTAATAGATAGTTGGAGGAGGATTTAAGGGAATTTCATAGGTTATGAACTACATTTCATATCCTCCATATCTTTGGGAGATTTGTACAGAGATAAACTTATTTTCATTGACTTTCAGATATCAAACTTGTGACTGTTGACTTTGACAACATGCTGAGACTGACTGTGAGGTAATTTGTAATTTAATTAACATGCTTGCAAATTTTGTCAATATAAGTATTCATTGCATTTATAAATGGAAATAGTAAACACCTCACTCATCCCAGCACTCTTTCTCTCTTCCTCAGTTTCCTTTTTTCTTGATAAGAGAACTAATCCCTTAAACATCCAGAGTTGTCTGAATTAGTTACTCTCAATTAGGGGCATTTTCAGCCCTTAAGGCAAGGCAAGGTTTAGAGACATTTTGGTGATCACAACAGAGGTTCTTACTGATATTTATTGGATAGAGACCAGGAATGCCATTAAACAACTTACAATCATGGAAAGGTCCCACACAATGGAATTATCTGGTAGAGAAAATGTTAATATTGGCAAAGTTGAGAAACTCTGGTCAGAATTACTAGGAATTTTCCTTCCTCATTTCTAACTCTCCAGTGTTATTTGGGTAATTTCTCTGGTCATAATTCATATGCTTTCAATAATCACATTAGGGTGATCATTCTATGTATCAAATAAGAACCATTAACTCTCCTTAGGAAACTTTCCCTTCCATCTTAATATTTATCACAGTATATACTCTTAAAACCATCAATAATCTTGGAGACTCCTACTATGATAATAAACTCAACCAATAAATGTAATGTCCAGTTCTACAATATCAATTACTTTTGGAGTTTTCTTGCCAGTAACAAAATAGGCAGTGCTTTATCTGATTTGCAGGTCGTGTTTTCCATGATACTACCAAATTGAGGGTCTCTTGCCAAACATTTGAGGAATCAGTGCTGCTAAATGTACAGAGCATTTTCTGGTCCTCTTAAGCTCAGCCTTCAGGTAATTCACATCTTTTCTCTGGAGACCCAATGCCTCATCTGCAAAAGCAGTTGGAACTGGATTAAGTTCAGTCTAAGGTCTTTTCTGGTTCACTCTAATCTCTGATTGAGAGTCTTCTCCATGAGAAATAATCCCTTCCAGTTGACCTTTAAAGGAGTGTTCAATAAAGTTCATGTCAGCCTCAAGCTCAAGGAAGTGTTTGTGTTATTACTAAAAGAAAAATAAGGACAGAAAGGAGGAGAGATTGGCAAGTTGCCTTTGTAAAAGCAAATATATCTAAGTGGAAATTTAGCATTTTCCTCTAATAAGACAAATCTGGATCCAAATAGAATTCAAAAAATAGTGAAAAGTAGATTCCCACAGAAAACAATGAATCAAACCAACATCTGTTGGATTTTTTTTCTTTGTAAGTCAGGCCAACACCATACTCTAAACCACGGACAGTGTTTTTTCCCCTCCCTCTTCCTTCCCCCTTCCAAAAACAAGTAAAATAAAAAAAAAAAATTAGACAACATAAAAACAATTTGCATTGACTTCATTGTAACAGAATGTAAACCAAAACACATCTTTGAAGTTCCCAGCACAGATGGCAGGTCCCAGCTCTCCCATGGTAAATGCTAAGCAAAGAGGGACTACACCACAGGAAGCTGAGGAGACCACAAATATCTTACACTGCAGAAATGGCCCAGAACTGCCACTGACAAACACAAAATACATTAAACTGATGCTTCCATCTGAAACATTCCATTTCCAGGTCTTGTGGGGCAAGTCTTTCTTTAAGGTTGAGTTTTATTGTAGGACCTGCTCTCTTGAGCCCCAGGTTTTAGTGGGAGAGATGAATTTGTGATGCTTTGTTGATGTCTACTACCTGTCCCCCTGGTGATTTGTAGCAGCAGTTTGCAAGAAGGCTTCCTGAAGTATGGAATCATGGAAGTGAGTAAACTTTTCGGAGCTCAACTCAAAAATTGAATTACATTTTCCATTGTTACCAGTGTGGTTGTGTGTGTATGTGCATGTGCTATTGTATGCACACACCTGCACACACACAGAGTTCCCCAGAATGCCACACATTCTCTCTGGTCTCTCAAGTTTGAGCCAACATACTGTGTCCTTCTACCAGATCATGTTTCTGCACCATGCCTACTTACCACTCAGGATGAGAAGTCTGCCCCTCTACTGTAAGTCCCATGTCTTTGGTCCTACATGAACAAATAGAGAATAAGTTAGTAAACTATTAAGAATCTTGGATGACGCCATTGGTCTGAAAGTTCTGCAAAACTTTCTAAACAAAAAAGCTTCATAAAAATTATTAAGAACAGTGGCCTTCAATTTATGTTGCACAAATATCAGGGATAAATAATGGCTATGAGTGTCTAATACTGCTTCAATATTATTGAAAACCCAGAGAAGAAAAATGTCTATGTTCTGATAAAATGAAGAAACTTTCATATATAATTTTTATTTATAAAACATAGGAAGATCATTATTACTTCTACTTCAACTAGAGCTTTTTTTAAATAAAGATCTCAAATTATGGAATGAATTACTTTTAAAGATTCTTGATTTAAAAATTATGAGAATCATTGGTTACTTCAATTGGTTAAATTTATAAATCTGAAAACTGAGTTCCCTGGGGGAAAGTGACCTTTATGAAGCCCATGTGTTATGGCACATAAGGTATAAATAGCGTGGATTATCATAGCCTAAGACACAGAACTTCCCTCCAAAGGCACAGATAATATATCTCATCAATATGTTATAATATGTGATCCAGAATCTGTCAGCAATCACTTATGGCAGTTTAGCAAACATAAATCAAGATCTAGTATATGCAAAACAGTACCAGATTTATCAGAAACTATACAGATAAATTCTATATAATCCTTGAATTTAAGACCTCAGATTAGTAACACCCTATTTATTCTTTTGATTAATCTAAGAAACAATTTGATGAAGGCAAATGCCACATTATTCCCTTTTCTTTGATGAGCAAGTCATTTTACTGATACACTGCAAATGATTATTCAAAGCTTGGTATTTCTATCACTGCTGTATAGTACACAGGTACTTTGAGAATTCAGAGAAAGAAAAAATTAATTTGGGAGATTTGTGTAAGATTTGCATGTTTGGAGAATCCAAACATGTGCTGGAGTTCAACAAAAAGGAATTCAGCAAAATACCAGGTAAAGAAGAGGGCACAAATGACCAAAAAAGAAAATTCTACCAAATGGCCAAAGAAGAATGTTCTACACCTTAGAGGATGTGCCTGCACCAAGTAACACAGAACCTTGAATATCCTTGCAGGAAGACATAAATTCCAAAGGAGTATTCCACAGAACACAGTTTCTGAGGGATTTAACAGTGTTTCAACACACTTTTATATGACCAGACAGGTTTAGAAAATACTAGATTAAAAAACTCTACAGGTTTTTCACTCTAAAACAGCCCAAAACCTTGAATGGGCTGCTGTGTACTACAGACAAACAGAAAAGGAATAAAATTGACAGCATTCCCTAAATGTATTTCCTAAATGTAGAATATCATTTTATTATTGGTATTACTCCTTTCTTTTATAAAACAGTTGACTGACCAGTTTCCCATAGGTCAGAGTTTAAGAAACTATTTGTGGTGGGAAATAATAGCAGAGTGAGAAAAGCTTCAGAAGTGGGAGGTGGTGTGGAGACAAGACTACAGAAAGGAGAGCTTGGTGAGGGGTCATGAATAAGGATGATGAACCTGAGAAGTGGGAATAAATAAAAACTCACAAACCATTGTGCACTGTAATAAAATGTTTTTTAAATCTGTTGATAACTATTGGACATAGGAACAAGTACTGGCAAGGGTACAGAACAAAAAGAATCCTCATACACTGATGGTGAGAATGTAGACTGATCCAGCTTTTACAGAAAATAGCATGACAGTTTCTAAAAAAAAAAAAAAAAAGACCTATCTCATGATCCAGCAATGTTACTTTTAGGTATCTACCCCTAATGCATAAACACTAAATTGAAGAGACATATGCGGTCTATGTTCACTGCTGTACTATTTACAGTTGTCAATCAACATGCCCAATGATAGAGGAGTGGGTAAAGGACATGTGTCATATGTGTATACACAGTGGAATGATGTGTAAATATGACAAAAATGAAATCTTACCATTTGCAATGGCATGAATGGAACTTAAAATAATGCTAAGTAAAATAAGTCAGGAGGAGAAAGACAAATACTGAGACTTCATTCATATGTGAAATACTTAAAATAGGAACATACAAAATTAAACCAAAACAAATCCTGGAAATAACTGTAAATTGAGGTTTCCAGAAGGGGAGAACTGAGAGAGGAAACAAAGGGGAAAGAGAACCCAATGGACTATAGTGGAAGATTGTGGGTGCTTTGGTGGTGGGTGTGATGGTATAAGTTACTTACATGTGAAAAGGTGTCACTCTGCAACCTAAGTTATATACAGTGTAATAAACCAAGTTTATCTCAATAGAAAAATAATAGATTTTGAACATAAGAAGCATAAATTTAGAAAATTACAATTTGTTTTATATGCTGCTATTGTATTTTGATGAGAAATCTTTATATGTTAGATATATACTATTTATGGGTTAAATCATTTATTTTAAAATAATTCAGTTTTAGTTTAAAAGAAAATTTAAATACTAAAAGAATAGCAAGATACTGTAAGATTGATGTGTTATATTATTTTCTTGACTTTTGTATGTTTGCCAATTTCCATGATTACAGTTAAAAATAAAACTCCTATGAAGAAAATTGGGGAGGAATATTGTTCATTTTCTTAGGTTAGATGCCTTTGGAAATTGGCTGGGAGGTAGGGATTTTCATGCAGTGTTTAGAGATTAAATTCACTAGGGTACTGCAGGAGGTCGATCTGGGTCCAGAGAGATTCTGAATTACCATGTTGTCATGGGAAGGTCTTAATTGTATCAACTTGTCTTGGCTCTTTGGTTCCTCACTTTGAGGGAACCAAGCCTTCATAACCTCTCCCCACTTATCAACTCACATATACATATTAATCAATCCCTAAAGAATGGACATGACCTGGAACAGTGTCCTATTTGACCCCCAGTTCTCTGAAAGAGCTTCCAGTAATCAAGATTCTAAGCTTCCAACAGTTGTAATAAGGAGAACTTCAGTCCTAAAAGAAGAATTTAGGAAGTCTGCCATGGGGTCCATTCCAGCCATTTCTTTATCCTTAAGCATTTGCAATGATGACACCTTTCTCCCACATCACAGGCAGTTGTGGACTGTGTCTGTGTATTGTTTTGTTGGCTGTTATAAAAGACTATTTGTATAGAAAGGGCATGTGTTGACAAGAAATAGATCTATTGCTTTAAATTCATCTTGCAAGTGGTTTTCATTGAAATAGCAGGAAACTGATGTCCTTTTAAAACTTTATTAAAATCATCTGGATATATTCAACCTAATAAAAGCATAGAACATGGCTGCTGGACTTCCTGTGGCTTTAGATATGGAGAAAAAAGAGGCTTAAGTGATACCCTACATTTGAAATTGTATATAAAGCTATGTTATTGGACTAAGAAAATATGTCTTTTATGAAGTAGATTCACAGGCACTACCCTGCTTCATTTCTGCTGGCATGACTTTTTGAGTGCCTGTTGGCATCCTGTTCCACTTGATCTCTTCGTTCTCTTGTGTTTATCTATATCAGTGTTGTTTTACTGGGGCTCTGGGCCTATTTTGTGCAGAATCAGACATTTTACCCTCTACTCAGGAGAGTCAAGTACAAAGTCAATTTTTAGAAAGAGCTTTGTTTCCCTGGGTTTAAGAAATACTTACATTTTCCCTTCCAAAGAGGTAAATTACAAAATAATTCTGTTGGATTCTATTTAATCTATTTAAGGTTTTCAGCCATATTAGTGATAAATTACAAATGGAAGGGATGAAGCCATCATAGTTAAGGAGGCCACTAGGTGAGCACCCATCTTTCTGGAGCATCTTTTATAAGCTTTTGACCAAAAAGTGTCAAATAATCTACACCTTATTGTTGAGTTACTTAAGGAAATTAATTTTTTGTTCATTAAGGACATAATTACATGTAAATTCACACAGAAACATGTCCCCACCTCCCCCAAATCAGACATAGAACCTCAATTACCTTTGATTCCAGTGCTTTGAAAAGCAAAGAAAAACACAGAACACAGTGGGGTAAAGCTCCTTTGCAGCAGGGAACTTGGAGGAAGTGTTGAACAGCGTTACTTCGGCCAACATATACAAGCTTAACATTATTTTTTAAACCTATGGCTATGTGCCTTAAAGATGAATATTTTGCCTGTGAAAAATGAATGGTCCTGAGTTCTTGCAACCATTGTTTCTTTGTCAAATGGAGTATGCAAGAGGTCTTTTAAAAAATATAACCTTTTGAAAATAGATTACTTCTCCCCTTTGAGCTTGCACTACTATTTGGAAAGTCCCCTGAAGGAATTTCAACCAAATAGTTATGGAAGAGCCTTCAGGGTTCACTGACGCTTGGCGAGAGAAAGAGCCACTGAACACGACCAATGTTCATCTTTGGGTGAAATAAACAAAGTCTCTTCTCCGATTTTCTTGTCTTGATCTTTTAAAAATGTAAAGGCTCACTGATTGCCTTTTTCTTGGTTAACAGATTGAGTTTAACAAAGAAGACCCCTTTTGAAGGCCAGAATAAGAAGAGTCGTGTTGAAAAGGACTGGGAGTTATCAGGTCAGTGTTATGTCTGAAATAGACTCTACGATAAGCAGGCCTCCTGGGGCCTTGAGTCAATTTAATTTTGATGAATGACCAGTTTGGTAAATATTATTTACATTACTACACAGGTCAGGTCTGTTCCTTTGCTGCCTTGACAGCCCATATAGTCTGCTATGGAAGAGCTTCTCAAGTAATCCCAGTGGGCCAGCTTTCCCTGTGAACTCACAATTAGAAGGGTAATTAGTAATGAGTTACTTTGCCTTGGAACTAAAAATGAAAACATGAACAAACATCTCAGTAATCTAGAATCACAATAATTTTTGAACCACATGACCTCAAAACAATTTGCAAACTGATAGTTACTTTTAAAATTTGGCTTCTACTCTAAAAAAAGAAATGGCATTGTTAAACAAATATTACAGAACAGAAAATGAAAAAAAAAATGTAAAGCATTGTCCTATCCCTTGAACATACTATTTCCAGAGATCTAAATTTTCTTGTTTCTTCACATGTATTTATTCATATACTTATTTAGCCTTCAGTATATAATAAACACTTAATATGAGTCAATTACTAATTTAAGGACAGAGATCAGTAAACTGTATTCTGTAATTAACCTGTAATATTGTGACTTATACAAAATACATGTCTTATAAGAAACATATTCCTATGACCATCATGTGTTTCTCATATTCACTGGTTTTTCAGCCTGATTTCTGGTTCAAAGCTGTTAAGGTTTGGTATTTCCTAAGTATTGAGGATGATAAAGTTGTCTCTTGTTATGTGAATAAGGTGACTTATGGGGACACAGAAGGATGGGGATTGGCTGCCTGGAGAATCAAGCTTGTGATTTGAATGTTGGAACTTTAGTCCTACTCCCAAGACCTCTGGAGGAGGGAAGAGAGGGAGCTAGAGATTAAGTTTAATTGCTAATGGCCAGTGATTTAATCATCATGCCTTGTCATGGAGCTTCCTAAAAAACTCAAAAGGAGGGAACTTGGAAGATATTCCCAGTTGGTAAACATGTGGAGACTGGGGAGAATGGAGTACATGGAGAAGGTGTGGACATTTTGTGCCCTTTCCCATATTGGCCCTTTATGTCTCCCATCTGATTGTTGATTCATACCCTTTTGTATCCTTAATAGTAAATTGGTGACCTAGTGGGAAAGTGGTTTCCTGAGTTCCGTAAGCAACTCTAGCAAATTGATCAAATGAGGAGGGGATTGCGGGAATGTATGATTCTTAGATCATCAATGAGTAGCACAGAAAATAATCTAATCTGCAGCTGTCACTTGAAGATTGAGGAGGAAGTCATGAGAACATCCAGTCTGCAGCTGGATGTTCTGGTTGGTTAAAAGCCCAGATAATAGCCTGACGTTGCAACTGGTATCCAAAGAAGAGGATGGATTGGGGAGAAGTAGCTCTTAATCTGTGGAATTTGATACTATTTCTGGGCAGATAGTGTCAGAATAGAGCAGAATTGAGTTGAATTTTTGGATACATTCCTGGTATCTGGGAATTGCTTGTTGGTATGGGGAGTTTCTATACATACCCTCACTGGAATTAGGTCAAGAATTCAAGAAAAGGGTCACTCAGTTAAAGATTTAGGTTTTGAGGGCCACATGGTTTCTGTCACAGCTTTCAGGTTTGCTGTTGTTGGGCAAGAGCAGTCACAGAAAATATGTAAACAAATATGTCTGGCAGTATTCCAATAAAACTTTATTTACAAAACATTACAAAACAGACAGTAGGGCTGATCTGGTCAGCTGGTCACATTTTGCCAAATCCTGCTACAAGGTCATGGGACTAAAGAAACAAACAAAGCAAAATCCCAAGAAATATCCATTGTGCAATTTGTAATTATCGAACATTTCAGAGAGTACTAAAGTGAAGGAAACATGTATTTCTCATAATAGACACATGGTATACCTTCAGTTAGGTGTTCCTTTTGCTCATTATTTTGTGAATGTTTTCTATGGAGCTGCCTAATCTTCACACTTAGTAATATTTCTGATCTCATAATATCCTCCCTAGTTGCCAGGCCATACTTTCTTCAATCCTTTCTCTATGTTGTACATTTAGTTTAACCTAACTTATGAGCACACAAATAAAGGGGATAAATTAATCAAGGTGTTCATCCTCTAATAAATTTTTTCCAAATGCTTTTTTTCTCCTTTCGACAGAGAATTACAACAACTACAGGTCAGGGAAATGGTACATATGAGGAAGGTGAATGTAAAAAGTCTTTTCTCTGTGCTAAGGAAATTATTGATAGATTTTAGAATTCTATGATTTTCAGGTGGTCCTGAGAATTAGGATCCAGAAGCAGTCAAATGGTTGTGAGAAAGGGAAGCAGTCAAATGTAACCTCTCATTTCCTGGTCAGGACCTGTGTTCTGCTGCCAGGCAACATCCTCTCATGACTTAGTCCATTAGGGACCAATCACTTAGAAGAAGATGCTCATGTTTGAATCCCTCCACTACTGATTGTGCTGACTGAAGGCACAGCACATGTCCCTGTGTTCTGATAATGACAGAAAGTAAATATGAGAAAATGCCTTCTCTCCAGGTGAAGACAGAAACCTGCAGGGATAGGACAGATTCAAGACCCATCGTTAGTGATAGACTATATGTAGGCAGACTCTTGTTCCCCTCTTCTCAGTGTTCAGCACACAGAAAGAATTTTCTACTCTATGTCCCAGGAAAAGAATGCCCAGGAAGCATTTGATCCCCTTTCAAAGATTTTTATCCTCAGTTACTTTTCCCCTTAGAAAGAAGAGTAACCTCTCTGGTAGGTGTGATTGGAGAATCATGAGTTTCAGTGCCTTTTGTAGTCTGTCTTCTCTTAGGTTGTGAAATTGACCCCCAAAATAAGAGTTTCTCTGTGACAGACACCAACATGTTCATTTATTCAGTCCACACAACTATGAGGTTGTGCTGTACTAGTTTCATTCATAGATAAAGAGAAGAAGGAATCACAGAAACATGGAGACTTGCTTTATTGCTTGGCTGATGAATGGCAGAACTAGGTTGGTGCAATCTAATTCTTGGATCTATGCTCCCAAATTCTCAGCTCTTTGATTTACCTGAGGAGTGAGTGTTCTGCTCAGTTCTTCCATGATAGAAGCATACTTGGGGATGGCATAGCATTTAGATTCTGTTTGTATCCTTTCTGTCCCTAATGGAGGTACAAGAGTAATTTTGATGGACAAATGTACAGGCTTCCTTGGGTTAGATGTACTAAACCTCTAGGTTTAGTAGAGGTTGGAAGAAAAATCTGTCCATGATCTTGAATTCATCAGTATCAGTAAGAAAGATAATATATTCATCTCTCCAGTTATGACTGCTATGTTCCTTTTCTCAAATTTTGGTTTCTAATTTAGAGGGAGAAGGATGTGATTAAAATCCATCTTAAGCCTCCAACATAATAAAGGTATGAATAATAGCAATAGCAGTTCACAATAATTATGACATAATGGGCATTTACAATATGACATAGCTAAGTGCTTTAGATATGTATTGTATCTTTGAATCATCAACATGATCCCAAATGGATAAGTACTCTGGAAGAGGCAAGGTGAATTAAATTCCAGTTTGTCAAATAGGCTTCTGAAAAATTAAAAGGGTAATGACTATTTTATTGGCTACATGACATATTACCAGGCAAACTCAGAATTTGATTGCAATGGTCTTTGATGTTAACATCACAGTGTTCCAATAGCTGATATTCAGTAATTTCTGGGAGCACTTACAGGTCAAAATAACTGCGACTTGCTAGCAAATAGCCAAATAAGGTTAAGGCATTTCATTTGAAACACCCTTTAATCTGTTTACTTCTTCCCATCTACTTTGGCTTTACTCTAGACTGCCACCATCATCTCTCATTTGTACTACCAAAACAGACTCTACTTTGGCAACCATTTATCTTTTTGTCCATGTCAAATATCTTCCATAATTCATACAGCAAGACTGAGTTAAAGTTTATACTTCTAATGAGAGTATTCTCATTCCTAATATTTCTTACAGTAAAGACAAAAATCCTCAATACCTGGTTCAAAATTCTGTAAAATTTGACCACTGACAGCCTCTCTTGCTCCATCTCCTCAGTCTCCCATTTCTGTACCCAGCCATATTGATTTGGTTTAACTCCTTGGCAATCTCAAACTTCTGCTTGACCTACTTATTATTCTCTCTTCTTGAAACATTCTCCCCTTTGCCAGTTTTGACATCCATAAACACATGTATCTTTCAGGCTTCAGCTTAAATGTTGCTTTCTTAAATTTCTTCACTGCCAGCACAGTCATTTTCTATTAAAGGTCTTTATATTATTCTGCTCCTATATTTCATGGGACTTATCTCAATTTACGTTTTTTTGAGCTACTCATTTATTTTGGTCTGACTTCATATCAAATAAAGCCCCATGAAGATAAAATCAAAGTTTGTTAACAGCTGTGTTCTCAGTGCCTAGCACAGTGTGTGGCACACACACTCACCTAGTGTATATTGTTGAGCTGAGGTCACCAAATGTGGTTGCATACTCTGATTCAAGGAGTACCATCTCATAGACAATAATGTTGACAGAATTGCTAGCGAATGTCCATCACAGCAGGTCTGTTTTGAATGAAAGAATGAATAAATGAATGATGCATCAGTAAATTAAACCACTGGTATGGAATTGGAGAAAAGTTATGTGATGTCAATATTTTCTAATAACTATGAGATCTCATGTTTCTATATGCCTTGCATATATGTAATATGGAAGCAGTTATTTTGGGCTTGCATAGGTTCTGAATGAGATCTCTTTTACTTTTATTTGAATTCCACATATTCTTTTTCATAATTTTGAACTGGGTGCACAGTCCTTCAGGTCCCAATATGAAGTCACAGTTCAGCTTTTTTAATTGTATAGGAATCTCATTTTAGGCTTGCAGGTGAAAAAGAGCTGAACCTGCATTTCATTTGTGAGTTGAAGTTCACTTTTAACATAGTATTTTTATACAATTGAGCCTCTGAGTAATATCTGCAATGTATTGTAATATGCTACTAAAATATATACAATCATGAGGGGAGGAAAAAGTGACATCCTAAAAAAGGTTGTAGATCATAGTGCTAGAGCTGGATTAATTCACATAGGAGACTTCAAATAACAAAGTGTCTATTGGAAACCGTAAATCTGGGTCATAATGCCAAACTCCAGTTTTGCTACATATCTCCATTCTGGTTATAACCCCAGGCTCCCCTGCAGCAGAAATCAGGCTGTGATTATTATCACTTTCATTTATTGGAAACTTATAAAGACAGGGGCTTAAAAAAATGATATCCTTCTGTATGCATTTGGGTTGGGTAAACCATGGTTTATTAGGACCAAGATCTTCAATATCATCTCCAATTCTATTGCCATTTAACCATGCAACTCATATTCCTGCACTCCTCCGGAGAAGCTATACCTCCACTAGAATAAGAACCATACCTTGCATTTGCTTTTATACCTAACTTACAGTGCCTTGTACCTACAGGACTTAGAGGTCTTGATATTTATGAGATGACTGAATGAAATTATAAGCCTCTTGGCTTAATTAAACCAGAGTTAAAATCACACCAAAATGTCACTATGCTCAGTTTGCAAACTAAGAGCAGATCTTTGACTTGGGCAAGCTTCTCACCTGGACTTGAGCTAGGAGGCATAGATGCTTTGATGTCACCCAGGAACATCTTCAACAACAAAGGACTTTCTCTCCTGATTTCTAGGGGCGCTTTCAGAAAGCAGCCTTGGTTGTCAGCTGCTATGTAAAAATAGCTACCTCTCCCTACTGGGTATGGAAGCCAATCACTGGAAACTATCAATGCACAAAAGAAAGCCTCCTTCTTTCCAACTCACGACATGCTGAAAGGCCACCACCAGCTCTAGAGAGTTCCCTGGGGTCAGCTTAAACCTTTGTTACAAATCCAACACAGCCCAATTTTTCTGCCTACTCCACCCTACATTAGCCAAAAAGAGACATCCCACTGATTGGGAGAAAACTTTTGTACACAATACTAATGATAAGGGACTGATCACAAATATCTGCAGAGAGCTAAGGAGGCTCCACAAAAACAAAGTAATCAACCCAGTCTAAAAACGAGCAGAAGAGCTAATAAGACACTTCCAAAGAAGAAATGCAAATGGCCAACAGGCTTATAAAAAAATGTTCAACATCATTTGTAATCAGGAAAATGCAAATTAAAAACACAATGAGATACTACCTTACACCAGTGAGAATGGCACATACTAAAAAAAACTAGCAACAATAAATGTTCACAAGGATGTGAAAAAAAGGAACTCTTCTGCACTGCTGGTGGGAATACAAACCAGTCCAATCACTATGGAAAGCTGTGTGGAGTTTCCTCAGCCCACTAAAGATGGTTTCACATAATCCAATAATTTCACTTCTAGGAATCTACCCAACGGACACAAAGCCATTCATTCAAAGGACACCTGCACCCCTATATTTATTGCAGCACAATTAACAGCAGGTAAAGCTATGGAAGCAACCCAGATGCCCCCAAATAGATGACTGGATCAAGATGAGTTCTATTTACACAATGGAATATTACTTTTGCCCCATCCTTGTTCACTTGAACAAGATTGTGTAAATCATTGCTTTTTAGAACCAAGAATTGCTATATTATCTCCAATGCTGTTACCATTTAACCATGCAACACACATACCCAGTGCTTTTGGCGTAGATTCCAAGAGCACTTCCTACTAACTTTCCTAAATGCTAATATTTGTCCCAGAATGAGTTTTCCACAGTGATAACCAATAGCCTATGCCTCTATGTTTCAAATAATTAAACTCAAAGGATTAAATTCAAATAATTAAACTCAATTCAAAAATTCCCCCTTTGGAACAATCTACTAACAAATGACATTATTATTTGAGAAAGTGACTGGACCTTGGTAGTGATTGTAGCACAGAATGGGACTCACACTCTTCATGTAAATTACAACAGATTCTTACAGCCCAGGGTAAAATGTATTTTCTGACATTACATGAGAATGAATAGTCCCAAAATAACATTAGGAATTTAGGAAATTGTGGTGGTAGAATAAGCATGCATTTAATCTTGAACAGTGTCAGAGTTTTTGCATTTTTAATTGACCTCCAGAAAATTATTTTTCTTTAAGGCCTGGTTATTGTTTGTTTATATAACTAGGTTCCAAAAATGCACTCACATGATAAACCTTTAAGAAATCTTTAGGAACTAGAAGATTAGAAAGTCATACACATTCCCTTATAACTACTGTGGCAAACTGTAACTATTGAGGGCATTCAGTGACTACATTTAAAATCTACTTTAACTGTTAATTATGTCTTGTAAACTATAAACTGGGAATAATCCCAACACTGCAGGCCAAACTGAGCCACATCCGCCAACTTACATATTATCTTTAGCTCCCTTTTTACTACAAGGGCAGAATTGGGTGGTTCTTACCAAGCCCCCATGACGCGCAAAGTCCAGCATATTTACAATTTGGCCCTTCACAGAAAGCGTTTGCTGACAATTACTTTAGTATACATTTAGAGATCCTAATCTAATATTAAATGAAATAAGAAAAAATTTTTTGAAGGAAACTAACACACTGCATGTAACTAACACACTGCATACAAGAAAAGTTACCTTTGAAGAATGAGATGAACAGTAAATTTGTGTATTTTTCTTCTTTTTAATTTTTGTTTTTTCTACAACACTTTGTAAAAGAAAATGAATCAGGCTTTCCCTGGTGCCCAGCGGGTTAGGGCGCAATAGTGCAAGCTAGCTTCAGTTGCTTCAGTGAGAGTTCAATCCCCTGCCCCAGAGGTGATCCCCATGGTGTGGCAGACCTCTCCTGACCCACCCGCTGCTCCCCTCAGCAGTGTACTTCATCAATCTGCCTGTTTTGCTCCCTACTCTGCCTCTGGTGAATCCTCTCACCACTCTTGCACTTCTGGCCTGCACCCCAGTTCTATATGCATAAATAAATAAATCTTAAAAAAAAAATCAATGCCATTTACCAAGCAGTTTGCATGATTTTTCTTCAGATTCATTGAGAACTTTGCTACTGGCTGGCCATCAATAAAAAACAAAGCTATTTAACCAAATTTCAGTTAGAAAGCAGCTTAGAGTGTATGCACACTGCATGATTGTTGCATAATACTATCCAGGTCTAAAGAAAATATGTAAACAACACAATGTGGAGAAGTTTGTGTAGCCACTAGATTAAGCATTGAGTTGGCTATCACAAGTTTGAAAAACAACAACCACCACCACCCTGAGTTTATTTTGTGACAGCTGGCTCCATTTGGTAAGCTTCTACACATTGCACTAAGAAATAGGGCTTGTTCAGCCTCTGGTGTGTAATGCTTTTTAAATTCTCCCATCAGTGGAAAAAAAAAAAACAGCCACCATTTTCAAAAACTGAACTAATCCTGGACTGTAAAAAAATATCATTATGGTCACAATAACATAGCTACCATTTTTGAGCAGTTTTCTTAATGAATAGCAAGCCCCAAGCTCTATGCTTTTTGCCAGCATCTTCAAAACAAACACATGAGAAATACTCTCAGCTTACTTTCTTCAGATGAAGTAACAGCCATGGGCTGTTGAAGGGTCACCAGCTAACAGGAGGATTAGGCAGAAGTGAGATTGGTTCTCTCTGCCTCTAGACGGCCCAGACCCTATTCACTGAGCTATGTTGTCTTGTGACCATGTGCAAGTTCCAAACCATGATACATCCCAGCACCCATCTTGGAAACACATGAGTGGTAGTTTATAGATATTTACAGAATCATAAAATCACTTTGCTCTTAGTCTATTGAATGAGGACATGTATAGAGGTAGGTGCTATGGCATTAAGAAGTGTTGGGACTAATTCCACCACTATCTCACACCATACACAAAAATCAATTCCAAATGGATGCAAGACTTGGACTTTGAGACCTAAAACTGTAAAATACATAGATGGAAACATAGGCAAAACACTCCCTCCCATAAGCTTCAGAGATAGCTTTGCAGATTCATCCCCTGCAGCAAGGAAAACAGAAGAGAACATAAACAATTGACACTACATAAAAGTAAGTTGCTGCACAGCAAAGGAGGCTATAACTAAAATGATAAGACACCCTACTGAGTGGGAGAAAATATTTGCAAACCACCCATCTGACAAGGAATGGGTATCAGAGATCCATAGAGCTCATACAACTCAATGAAATGAAAAAGTAAATAAAGAAAAACATGGGTAGAGGAGTGGGCAGTGGAACTAAATGGGCATTTCTCCTAAGAACAATACATCTGTTAAAATGGACCAGAAACAATAAGTGCTGGAGAGAATATTGAGAAAAAGGAACTCTCTTATACTGTTGGTTGGAGTGTAGACTAGTCCAGTCCCAATGGAGTGTGGAGGGCTTTCAAAACACTGAAAATGGATCTTCCATATTAACTAGCAATTCCTTTCCTAGGTATCTATCCAAAGTCCACAAAAACACTAATGTGTATTAAAATATAAAATGACACTCCTGTGTCTAATCCAACACATTTTTCAATGGCCAAGATATGGAAACAACCTAAATGCCT